ATGTGAGCTATTTTTCCTCCGAAGCATGAGGCATGCACTCTCCCTCAGTTTTTCAGGCTTCTTTTTAGACAAATGTGACTCCATACGCCAACGTTCCTCAGGGGAAATTTTCATCGGGGGACTTATCACGATCATAGGTCGAGCCGTCGGCCTAGACTTCCCGGATCCCGAGTACATACCTGTCGACACCCCACCGAACTTCCTGCTAGATTGTGACACTCTCATCCGGATGGAGATGTTGCTCGATCAGGGAACCCGCACGTACAGTTGGTTAGACGCTGACAAAGCCCCGGTTTACATCCTGCCAAGTTGGATCGGTTCTTCATTCGATACAGGCGACCCCGACACTTGGCTTCCTCCAGATCAATTGACCCAAGCAGGTGTATTCCCAGAATTCGGTGATGATGAGGGGTGACGACGCAGAGGAACAAGAGGAAGAAGATGACGAAGAGGATGACGAGATGCCCGAAGCTGAGGACCATTTTGACCAACCCTCGATGCAGCAGCCGATGTTTCAGCACGATCAGTTCCAGGCCCCTCCACATCATTTTGACCAGCCGCATCCGCAGGAGGGACACGAAGTCCCACCATATTTCCCCCCCACGTTCTTTGACCAATTTGCCACAATGTTCTCCACGGTACAGCGTATCGACGCCCAAACGCAAGAGAATTCGAGAGCCATCCTAGATGTGGCAAGCCGTGTTGATCGATTGGAGCAGTCCTCCTCTCACACTTCCCGCCAGCTCCAGGATATGTGGGACTACCACCATTGCCACGGGCATTTTCCGCCGCCCGACCCCCCGATCTAGGTCCTTTCTGCCCTTTCCTTAAGCATTGAGGACAATGCTTGTTCTTAAGCTTGGGGTGGGGCATTTCCCTTTTTTTTTTCTTACTCTTTTTCATGCATTTTTAGTTAGGTTGCATAACATATTAGTTTAAGTTAATTTGCATTCATTTTTTTTATTTTATAAAATTTCAAAAAGATTTTATCTTCTTCTTTTCTACTTTTTATTTTTGCATAACATTTAGCTTAAGACATTAGCATTCATGCATTTTTGTTGTCTGTTTATTCTCACCTCTCTTGGATGCCATGGAACAGGTTCACAGTTATTTTTATCATTATTGGTCCAGGATCTTGTTGCTATCTCACCCATCGAATCGGGACCACTAGCTACAGTTTGGGATTTCATACTTGGGATCAGATGCTGGTAGCTTAAAGGGGTAAGTGATCATGGCCAGGTAGTTTCATGAAGAATTATGCATACAATACTAACAACTGTAGGATATACTATAGCAATGGGTGTTCTTAGCCTTGCGGTCACTACCGCGGAGAGGATCACACTTGATCATGTTTGAACTGTTAGGATGAAGCATTGGTGCTTGTCCCCGAGTAGAATCCATATCCGATCTCTTTACATCACCATATCTTTTTGCGATTTTCTTAGAATTTAGAGAGTCTTTTAGTCCACATTTGGACATTTTCATTATCTTTGAAAAACCACAAGTTTGAAGGAGCTTACATTACATCTTTATGCTCCACACATGGTCATTTTCATACTTAGGCCATTCGGATTATATCATTACCCTTTCGGTTCCACCTACACACCTTTGGGAACCAAATTTTGAGTCAAAGGGTTTTATCTTTTAACAAAAAAAAAAAAAAAAAAAAAAAAAAAAACAAAAAAAAAACAAAATGAAGCATGCAAAGTTTCAGTTGCAACTATCTTAGATAGGTGGCCGGTTCAATTATTGAACAAATTTCCCAACATCTTGGTCACCCGGCGTTTGATATTCATTTATTTAGGTATGTTTTATTGTATATAGATCGAGTTGTTTTTCACAAATTGGTGATGTTAGAGAGACTGTCGAGTCGGATACTACAGGAGGTTTGGGCCAACACTAAGTGAACTGATTCCTACAACGGTGCCCGAGCGATTAAACCTAGTTACACATGAGAGAAACCGGCAGATGTGAGATCAGAGTGTGCACTTAAAGAAGTGCTCCACCCGAGCCCATCCAGTTGCTTTCTCCCTACTACAGATGTTCTTCATTGTATACATGTTCCATTGAGGCTGCGACTGCTCATCCCTCCTTACTCACCTAAAGGAGTTGTCCTGGCTGTGGTTTATGGTTCCATTGTCATCGGATGAAAAAGTTGTGAGATAGCAGCGAAATCAATTCTGACCATGTTGACTAACGTCGGACAGGTTCCATGGTTCTATCCATTCTTTTTATTTCTAGGGTAGTTCATCCCAAGTTCATTTAGTCTTATCTTACTTGAGGACAAGTAAGGTTTAAGCTTGGGGTGATTTGATAGCTTCATTTTATTTACTTATTTTTATAGTTTATTTTAGTACATTTTATTCGCATTTTAGTTAACTTTCATGCATATTTTCCCTTTTGTTATTTTTATGACCATTTCGGGGTACTTTCTAGTTTCTTGAGCATTATTGCAGATTTTCTTGGAAACTAGCGGGGCGGCACTCTTGCGAGGTGATTGGGCTTGAAGGGAATTAGAGATTTCATGCTTGATGGCTATAAAGGTGATTCATGGGGTGGACTTGTCAATTGCTTGAAGGCTTGGAAGAATCGAGCTTTAAATTTGAAAGATGCGGGGGAACATTCAAGCGTATGAAAATTATTAATCGGGCAAGTTCACGAGCTTTGGAGGATTTGGAGAGGTCAAATTGGGCTTTAAATGAAGAAAAACTTGAAGAAAATGGGCTAGGAGGTGATTGGATTCGATCTGGGCTAGTGGGATATGCTTTAGAGGCCCAAAATCTCAAAGAAGCCCATGTCAGGCACCACCCGCGCAACCCACCCGCGCAGCAGCACGCGGGTCGCGCAAGGCCCTGCAGGGGCAATTTCGGGAATTCTTCTTTTGAGCTATTTGAGGAAGGTTGGTGCCCATCTTTTGCATACACTTTCACATCCGATTTTTGGAGATTCTCTCTGGAGTTTTGAAGACTTTTGAAGGCCAAGAACCCTTGAAGAACATCATATTTTTACCTCTTGATTCTTGCTTAATGTTTGGTACAAATTTCTCTAACTTTGTTTCTTTGGGTTTAGCCATGCTTGGCTAAGCTAATCTTGGTTGACTTTTGGTTAATCCTTTGAACTTTTGTTGAATGTTGAAGAATCCATGAACATGTTCTTGAATCTTTATGGAAATGTTTTGTGTTTTAATATCTTATCATTACTTATATGTTTTAGTTCATGAGTTTAAATGTGTTTGTGGTGATTAGTTGGCTAATTTCTTGATTAAGTAAAGGATCCTCAAATTAGCAAGCAACAAATAATTTTTGTGTTGTTTTTGCTTCACACAATCATAAAAACATTTCCTCCAACATGGTGGTGAAAGCATTTGACCCCTCTTGGATTTGGTGACTTTTTGGTTCTTAATGCTAGTTGACTTTCACTAATTACATGCTATTTGGAATTAGTGACTTTGACTAAGGAAATTGTTATGAGCTTCTCTAGCCATTTCAACAATTAAGAAAAGTCTAGGTAATCTCAAGCTCCTTGGATTACTATAGCCAAATTGAGGATTTAAAACAAGTATTGCACCATTGAATTCTAATGATATGTTCATCAAAAGTCAAAGTGAGAAAACTTTAAGTCAACCATCTTTCCCTTATTGATTTTACATCAAATTCTTATTTTTGTTGCAATTGTCTATTAAAATCATAGTTAATTCTAGTTTGTTTCAAGTATTTCAAAACATCAAAACCCCCATTTTTAATTTATTGTCATATTCCAAGTATTTTACAAAGAGATTTTTCATAGAGTTATCAAATTGAACCAGTCTCCGTGGATTCGATCCCTTTACCACTATACACTATTTTAGTGTGTAATAATTAGGGTTATTATTTGTGTTGGCCTCGACAACCACCAGGGAGAAGGAGGAGAGATTAAGGTGGTAATTTCATGTTGGTTAACCCTAGCTACATTGATACTTGATGGACAATGCATCGGTATTTGGAGTGTAAAACTGAGGTGTCACCATTTTGAACCTATATATATATATATATATATATATATATATATATTAAATAATGGTCGATCGGTCATGGAGGTGGGGGGAAGAAAAAAAAAGAAAAGAATGGGTTAGGACTTCCAAGTGCAAAAATCCAAGAATCCTAAGCCTAATAATGATTTTCGGCCCATGAAGGCCTATATATGGGTTTACGACCCAATAAGGCTAAATGGCAAAGGTTTTTGCCCTAAGAAGCTCGAAATAACTCTTCGTGGCCCAATAAGGATCTCATGGCCCAACACAATATTAAATACAAATTTTTGGCCCAATTAAGGCCTAATAGTGGGTTTTCGGCCCAAAAGAACTAAGCTGAGAAGTTATCGGCCCTTTAGGGCCCAATAAGAAAGTTTTGGTCCATTTAGAGGTTTGGACCGAAAGGCTTAGGTTAAGGTCCAAAGTTGAGTGATCATTGTTCATTGAGTTATATTTTGGGTTTACACGAAGAAGGTTTCAACTTGAAACAATTTATGGATATATAAACTTGTATGATATTGAAATTAACTTATACTACACATTGCGTTACACAGTTACACCAAGGATGGTAGTTGCATATGGATAGGAATTTCTAGCCCTAAAATGTTAGTTGTGACAAACTGGCTATTGAAGGTTTCCGACAAATTCTTATCTCTGGCGACTCTCAAACAAAAATGAGTTTTCCGACGAACTTTTCTTAGCAACAATGAATGCAGAAACTAGATGTTTTGAAACCAAGTTTGCACAGGAGGAGTTTTGTGTTCGTTCTTCATGCGAACACAACAAAAGAACATAGGTCCTTGGGTCTCGGCTGGATTTTGAATGAAAGGAGTAACATCAAATCAAACTAAGGTGGTAGTTGTGATAAATTACAACAACAAGTAGCAGGAGGTGGTGATCTTGGTTTACCGGCGGCTAAAAGGAGGTGGCAGGAGGAGGTGATAGGTGGCTTGTTGCCTCGTCCCTTCTTTGTTTTTCTGGCAGCAAACTGATGGGAGGGTGGAGAAAGCTAAGCAGCAGCACCAGCGATGGGTGGTGCTTGGATGACAGTTGAGAAAAGTCCGCTGGAAAACTCATTTTTGCCGGAGGCTCGCCACAGAAGACGAACGGAGAGTTGTCGGAGATACGAAATTGTCGGAAACCTTCAATAGCCGATTTCAATGATTTTTGTGAACACCTACAACAAATTCAATGGTAAATAAGGTATAAAAAAAAGGAAAATAACAAAATAAGTACAAAATCAACAATTAGTTATCCTTATAAGTCATTTTCCAAAAATAATAATAATAATAATAATAATAAATAAAATAAAATTCTTACCAGAAATTAGAAAATGAAGTTTGTGTTATTCTTCCCATGAAAAATATAACATTTTTCGTAACCCTAATCCCCAATTTCTTTTACCAGTACTACCTTAAAGCCGTTTCGATTATGGACTTCATCACGGTCATTCGTTAGACAGAAGAATTTCTCTCTGGCATGCGTAAGTACCTTCTGCACTTCATCCTCGATCGATTTTTGTCTTATCGATTTAAGCATTAGTATAGTTCAATAACCAGGTTAGCAAACCCTAATACACTTCTGTTTTCTTATCTGTTCTTCACATGGTTTATTCTCAACACATATCATCCGTCTCATGTACGGTAAGCAAAATTCATCCCATTTACAGCTTGTTTGCATCATCTATCATCTAATTTACACCCGAAATCAAGAACAATCTGCAGACAAACTTTCATTAGGTCAAAAACTGTAGGATCCATCTCTAGCAATCGAGTTCACCATTATTTGTTCATACAAACAGATCTGTATACGCGGGTTATCGTTAAACTGGTTTGAAACTGAATCCAATTGAGCAAAACCTTATTTCACAAACTAGATTCTCCTTCTTAATGTTCGATATGCCTAAAATTGATACAGAATTTCATTACTTATCTAATCGCTCGTTTTTCAAAACCAAAATCGACTGAAAAACACGAACTTTCTCATGTAACTGTTTGTGATAACTGATTACAATATATTGGTAATAATCATTTTACTTGATCAAAGTATCACCATGTCCCAGCATTCCTGATTTGCCACCTGTCTCTAAGAATCTTTAAAATGGAGTTTTTGAAAAAGGGGTCCTCCTAAATATGGATGATTCTGCCATAATAATTCTCCTAAAATTATTTGTTGGCTTCTGATGACTACACATGTAGAGAACTATTGTGTGGACAGATACGAGTCATACATATTTCACCATTACATTTTTCCATAACTTCAATCTGCAAACAAACAAGAACAAGAACAAGAATACAAAGTTTGGTATCTCTTTTTCTTGAATGTTTGCTACACATATGTATTTAACTCTTCAATGTGTCATCAACATGAATTTGTAGACCCTTTTATAATCTCTTTGATGTAAATCTCTTTGTTTTATTGCCTATTTGATGTATTGTTAGTTCTCATAATATAGGTCTAGAATCTAGTTTAACGATCCAAAATTGCTTCGGTATCCTATGATATGACAACATTCATTGAAAAGTTATAGGTGAAACATTACATCATGCTTTATAAATAAAATGAAATGTGCTTTAATAGTTAATGTGTTCATAGGACACTAGATAGAGGAGAAGGTAGTGGATGTGATTGTAGGCCAATAAGAAATAAAGTTATGATATTTGTTGTTCATCAAACCAATAGAAACTATTGTTTACTTGAGGGGTCCTTTTTTTGGAGAATTTATTTAGTTGGAACACTTTGCTTCTTTTAATTCCACATGAAAATTTGTACTTTTGGAGGTGAAAAAGGTCTACAAATGCAATTCATTCATGTTTTTTTTATGAGGGTTTGTTTGGTTGGATTGGATGGAAGAGAAATGATGAATGAATGGAATAATGTCAAGGTACATTGATTCCATTACATGATCATTTGAAAATATTATGTTATATGTAAATAGAAGCTAAATGATGAACACTACTTTATGTTTTCATTTTAATAAAAGTCTAGAATATAGCATTTACAAAATAACGAAACTAAAAATTAAGTATAATGAAGCTTTACTAAAACTCAAACGAAATTATGATAAAAAAGATTATTCTATATATGCACATAGAAAATAAACTTATAATTTAATTAAGATCGTGAAATTCTTAACAAAAAGATTTCATAAATTACACATTTGGTCCTTGTAGTTTACTGAAATTCGCACTATTAGTCCTACTATTGGATTTTTGACATTGTCGGTCTTTATGCCCTGCCCTATGGTTTTGCAATTGTTTCATCGATGGTCCGTAAGGCTAACTTCCGTTAATTTCCATTCCACCGTTAAATGCATGTGAAAAGACAAATATACCCCTTTTTAGTTTTTTATTTTATCGACATTGTTGATAACCTTAGGGACCATTTCTATAATTTACTCAAAGTTCTATTACCTGAGAGTTGAAAAGACCGATAAACAAACTTTGGCCGCAGGATTCGGTTAGAATCAATGGAGAAGGTTACAAACGGTGAAGTGGCGACACTCAAAGTAGAAGAGAAACGGGGGGTGGGGGTTGTATGCAGGCGGTGTAAAGAAACTTACAACCCCTCTTCAAACACTCCTTCTGCCTGTCGATTTCATCCTTCTTTCTTTGTGTGTCGACGTCATGATGATCAAAAAAGGTGTCTTCTTATAATGATTAAATCAATGTGAAATTTTATGTTATGTGATTTTTAAAAGAGAAAATGACTTAATAGAGTAATATAGTTTTTCTTTTTGTACACGTTTAGGTTATGTTTGGCGTACTAATTGAAAAACTAGTTGTTAGCAGATAGCTGAAAAGCTAGGTGTTAAATAAAAAGCCAACTGATAAAAAATAACGTTTGGTAAAACTAGCTGAAAGATATAAAATGACATTTAAAAGAATGTGTTTTTATAAATAATTAAGGGTTATATTTGAAATTTTTTACAAAAGCTTCTTAAAAGTTAGTCTAAGTAGTTTTTTTTTAAAAGCTAACTTATAAGAAACCTTTTAGCTTGATAAACATGATAACTTTAAAAAACTCAAAAAATAAGTCAATTGTGGAGTGACAAACACAGACTTAGGGGGTGTTTGGATTAGATTTTTAGCTTATTGCTTATAGCTTATTTGTGGTGAGAATAATCAATAAGCAATAAGCATGAGAAGGGATGCTTATTAAAATTAACTTATTTAGCCTAATAAGCTGAATTCTATCCAAACACTTAAATTAGCTTATTGTGAGAATAAGCAATAAGCAGATCTTTTTTTCCTATCCAAACACCCCCTTAGTCAATTTGACAATTTAACTTGTTTTTATGTTTATGTAAACCTGAAGCAGTTGGTTCGAAGGATTAAATGTGTACAAAAAAACAAGTTAAATAGTTAAATGTGAACAAAAAAATAAGTGACTAAATGTGTACAAAATGAAAACTATATTAACCGATTAAGTCATTTTCCCTTTTCAAAACTAATACGATTGGATTAATTGTTGTTTATGTATACTTTGGAGTGTAGATTATCATTCTTTAATATCAATTGAGGCAAGTAGATTGTTAATATGTATTGAAACTTTTTCAAGGTACTATGAATTGGGACCTAATGATCCACCATATGCTGCCAAATTCTATGATTGTTGTGGAGCAGAGGATCCCAATGCATGTGGTTGCACCACTAGTTTTCATCTCTCTTATGATGATGCTTGAAAGACTATTTGTGTTGAATATACATTGCTTTGAAGATGCTAAGATATGTATATAAAATCTTGAAAAAATAATTAAGAAATAAACCTCTCGTTTGTTTATGGTATGTTCACATGGAGTCATTTTTGTCATTTCAATGTTTGGAAGGGTAACTAACTAGCATCAACTAATGTTTGTTCAAAAATATGCCATTATGATATGTTATAATGGGTTTAATCGGTTTCCCAAACTATTGTAAATAATGAAAACAAGTTACAAAAATTCAATGGTTTCCCAAACAAATGTTTAATGACAACTACGTTTTTAGAACATTGATTTTATTTCAAAAACCATATTCAATTTCCACAAATGTATAAAATTTTGGATTATAACGTTTGATTGGGGAATTATATTATGTTGAGTTTTCAATACTTGTGACGGGTAAATTAGAAAATTTCCTATTAAATATTTCGATAATTCATTCGTAATTAGGGATGAGATTTTTAACTAAAAAATTGAACTAGAAACGGTTGTAATTGATTAATGGTATTTGTTAAGTTCCTTTAATTCATCATTTTCGGTTTTTGATTTTTTTGGTTTCGTTTTAGTTCTGAACCTGTTTACATACCTATTCATAATTATTATTAAGAGAATGTTAAATTTCGTCTACGTAATTACTATTAATAAAATCTTTAATTCCAAATAGCATGAAATTTTCTTTTATTCTCAACATTAAGAAAATGTTTAATTCTCAAACTAATAAAATGTTTAATAATATTTGAAAGATCTTAAAATTTTCAAAACAAAATCTATTTCAATCCATATTCCAAACCAAACGTTTTAAAAATCAGTCTTTTAGTTGAGCCGGTTTGGTTACCAACTCCCGGTTCAACCGTCGGATCGACCAGATTTTTTAGAATTTTCTTGTACTTATTTTCATATGTATATATAACCAAGAATTTAATGGAGTAGAGTGTGAAACGACAGTCAAATCTGTTTCAAGTGTGTGGGTTCGTTTTTGCATTCCCTATTTTGATAGTCCAGATTTTGTAGCCCAAACATTGAAGTCCAAGTCCATTTTACCGGCTCAACAGGGGTTTTAGTAGTTCATAGTATTCAGTTCAATTAGTTTTTGTGAAAACCAGCCAATTAGATCCGGTCCAATAAAACTGTTGCTAATTGAACTGTCATCTTCATTGGGTTCGATTCGACCCAATTTTTAAAACATTATCCAAACCAATCATCTTAACATGATATATTGGTGATTCTAAATATATAAAATTCACCAAACGGTCGTTTTTATTTTCCAAGTACCAAAAACATACCAATAACATTAATGAGTAACCTACTTTCAAATTTTACCATTTTCATCCAAATTCAAGATAATGTGTTTATATCCACAAAATGCCAATACTTTCATAATCTAATCAACCATTCACCAAACAAATTACATTGCTAACTTACAGCATAAATCAACAAAGGCAACACTTATATAGCATCATATTTATACAATCTAAACACACCAATGAAATCTTTATATGATAAATAACAATAATCTTTAAAAAAGTTTACACATACATTCTATAAATAGCAAAAACCCAAATCATTCAAGTTTTCTGAAAATGAAGTCGGAATCGCGGTTTTTACCTCAAAACTTGAAGATTTTTTTTTGCCTTAGATTGTTATTTCAGCAAGAGAGAAACTCATATTTATCCCTTCTTCTTCTTCACACAATTGAACTAGTTGCAACGATGGAGAAATGAATTAATTTCCTCATCCTTTACATTGTTGGTGAACAAAAGTCGAAAATCATACATTAATTGATTAACTCAACATGTATGATGTGTGACATGTCGTGTCTCATGGTATGTTTTTAGCGACATTAAATATCGATTTCCACCCCATGTTCACCAACCTTTTTTCAACATAAAAACCATAAATATGATGTTTATCGTGACATGCATGTCAAGTTGGTCATCCATTGTTCTTTAATTAAGCAATCCAAGTTGTATATTAACCATATTTTATATTACTACTATCACACATACTTTAATATAAAGTTTGGCACATTTGTCAAACTTTTATATTTTATAAACCCACAAAAAAAAAAATTCCAAACACACATCCATTAACTTAGATATTCCTATGACACTTTATATAATATTTGTATAATTTTTGGACATTATAAAAATCTCATTTTTATAGAATATTCCTACTTCTAAACAACTGAGTTTCTTAACATCCACTGCAGCTCCCTAATATTACAAGATTTCGGGGAAAAGACTAGTATTTGGTGATGATACTAAGCAACCTCTATTAGAACTGAGTCACACCATTCTCATGGTCATCATTTGATTGAAACCTATGAGGTTTAAACTTGAGACCCTACTCTAAGGAATGGCGTCAATGAATATTCCTACTTCAATGAATATTCCTACTTCTGTTGCTTCAAATTCCATTAACATGCTTGTGTTACAAACTTACAATTTGTAATACTTTCAATGCACATGTAGAAGTTCTTAAAGCATGGATATAATCATATAATCTATAAGTTTTGCCGGTTTATCACTCCATTAAAGAGATTTGATACGAGTCGGGTATTCCAAAACGCCATTTTTGGAGGATTTTGCATACCATTTTGGTACTTTCCTTAAAATTTTCATGGATTCAAAACTAGACAAGCTTGAAAATTCCTTCAATGCTTAATATGCTAGTTTACAACATCAACTTGAGATCACCAATCACAATCAAACATCATCCTCATAAAGCAACCGAGCTACTCAATATATATATGCAACAACTTTTAGAAAGACATACTTGCCTCTAAAAATATCTTTTTGGCTTTAATTTGTAAACTCTCTTCAACACATTCTAATTCCAATGGTGGCTTTAACTATTCTTTGCTTTTGATCATTTCTTGAATTGTGACATGTGAAATAGGCTCATTGCAAATTTGTGCTTTAGGTGTGGGTGGTAATGGGAACTAGTCTTGGTGCACGAACATACATTCCAACTTATCCACCATGGGCGCTTTTTGGAATCTTGAACCAAAACCATTGCATCTCCATATATAATAAGCCTCTATGCACCAACTTCGTTTGTAGTCTTATACTCAACATGTATTCCCACTAGGATTTTATTCACATGGATTTTTCGAAATAATATTTGTTAAATACATGACCATTTTTGCTACAAGAAATCCAAGTAACACCAACGTCGGTATTATCGACAACACAGACATTACCGATGACATATTTGCCATGTTGCCAGTAATAACGTCGCCTATATTGATACTAAACCACGATCCATATCATTTATCGAGGCATCCCGTCTGTCGATCTTACAATTCAATTCAAAGGCCAAGTTCTATTCATCGTACAAAAGTAATATCGGCGATATCAATAGTGGCGATAATGTCGCCCTAATGCCCCTAAAAAAATGACCACAAATTCTTCCCTCCATTTACCAATACACGTGGTTGCCATCGACCCTTATTGCCGCTAAAGATCATCGCCGCTAAAGCCCCTGCAACTACTGGGCCAGCCCGTCCCCAATTTCTCACTTACCCAAATATCTTTTTCACACTTCTTCTCCGATCGATTGGAAAGTATAACACCGTTCACCGGCCGATTATCACCACCACACGAAAGGAACACTATCGGGGTGTTTATACCGACGATTTGGGGGTTCTTTTGGCGACCAATCGACCTCAGAACCGCCGGCGACTTTCTTAATTCTCGTCCCTCGATCCTTCCCTTTATTTTTCTCCTATGACCAAATAAACCAAATTAAATTAAAAAAAAATAATTGTGTTTTCAGGGCACCACCGCCACTGTTGTTGCTCCGACAATACCACCGCCACTACTACTGCTTCGACGACATCACCACCAAAGGTGCTTCTAATTTCAAGTAAGTGATTTATATTGCAAACAAATTTATATATTTCGTATATGTTTATATGTTTATGAGTGTTTTTGTATAAGTGAATATGTATTTTGTATATGTTTATATGTTTACGAGTGTATTTTGTATATATTTATGTGTTCATTGTATGTGTATGTGTATTTCGTATGCCATCAAGAATGTATGTGTGTATATGTGTATTTGTGTAAGGTCACATCTTATGATCTTATGAGTCAAACATTATTCAAACATTGTCCACCAAAGCCAATGTTAACGTCAGCGTCTACATATTATCGACGCCAACGTCTACATAGTATTAGCGATAACGTGACCTTTTGTATAATAGTCTGATACCTTTTGTGTATTAGTCGGTTAGACACTCTGTAATTATAGAAAGCTTCGTATTTATAGAATAGATATATGATCTGTAATCTTAGTGATTAGGATTAGACCACACGTAGATTAAATTACATCCATTAAATAAAGGGATTTTCGTTTACTGTATTTATATATAGTCTTGCATTAGGGTTAAGCCCTAATGTGTGGTGTAACCATCTTTGTGACTGCTTTGCTGAAGGTTTGTATCGACTGAATACACTTCAAGTATAATTAACAAAGAACAAACTAACTAAACAAAATGGAGAACATAAAATGTAAAGAACACGAGTTAATCACAAAGATGTCTGTCACTAAGAAAGGGGTTGTTCTCACCAAGAAAACAAAAGTCACAAAGACCTACACTAGGGTTTCACTCTAATGTTGAATATACTAAATTATACTAGTATATTCTTTCAATTAAGGGATTGTATCTAATCTATAGTAAGAACTGATCCATATTACCAAGATATCAGATTTGGTATCTATTCTATACATATCCATATAATTGCCTAATATACAAAGACTACATAAGATCATTATCTAGACGCTAACGATGATAAGGTCTTGAGGAGCTGACATTGATGATGATCTTGGCGCTGGCGTTGGTGGTTAGTGTATAAAGTGTTTGACTCATCAAATCATAAGGTGTGACCTTACAATCCTCCCCTATCTGATGATGTCAAAACTAATCTTCTCCAGAAGAGTCATCAAAAGAACCATTGTAAATTCTATTAGCTTCAACGAATGCTCTCTCTAAGAGAATGTGTAACTCCCCCTGACGCATATATGATACGATTACCGTCTTTATATTTAATACTTTTCTAATCGCCTAGCAGTCGATGTTATCATTTAGTATTTTCACCATCATATCAAGACAATCAATGTACCCATGTATCATGTGGCTAAATGGATATTTGCTCCCCCTTAGATTTAGGTCCACTTCAGATCAGATATAACACTTCCTTAGTCTTTCCTTTTTTTTTTTGACATAATTAGCATATATAGAGGAAGCGATCAATGTATCAGAGTTGCAACTGGTAATCCAGTGAGTTTGTGATGTCTCCTGATAGTATGGGTTTAAACTACTATTCACTGACATAGTATTGCGAGATTTCATCAGCGTGTGGTTTCATACGTTGACTCATTAATCACTTTTATTAGAAGAAAAGGGCAAGATTAGAATGATGGATGTAATACAATCCGGTATAGAATGTACCCATCGACATAGAGTGTTAAAGTTTTATCAGTGTATGGCTAATACATTGAATCATTAACTTCTTTAATATAAGAGTAGTTGGGAAAGAATAGGTAGATACGTCTAATACATCACATACAATGATATACCCGTCAGCACAAATTTTTTGAATTCTCATCAGCCTCTGGCTTCATAAGTTGAATCATAAAATTCTAAAGAAGAATATATGGTAAGAATAGATTGGTGCATGTGATAAGTTATGGTGTTTTTAGCTTAACCATGGGCACATATTTTTCAAGCTCTCATCAGCATATAGTACATTATCCTGAATCGTAAAGCTTTAAAGAAGAGTATAAGGGCAAGAAGGGGTTGGTGCGTGTGATAGTGTACGGTACATAAACTAACTATCGTCACATCATTTCAAACTTTTATCAGTGTGTGGTATATCGTAGTGAATCATCAAGTTTTATTGAGAAGAAATTCAGAAGAAAACAGAGTGTTTCAGTTACACTGAGGTGGAATCAGCGTGAATCATAAATGGTGTCAGCTCATCAATAGGAAGTGGTTTAACTTCTGTATCATAGAGCTGAGTTGTAGTCTAGAAATTTGAAGTGCACCGCCAATTTATTAAATGTTGTACAAGACAAATAGGCAAAGAGATAAAAGCGTAAGAGATAGTTAACATAAGAATAGTTAAAAAAGAATATACAACTTTTTCATAGACTCTTTATGTATCCTTTTCGAAAGAATCATAAAAGAAGAAAATCTTTTAAGCAGAATCACCAATGAGAGATCTTTTGAAATAAATACTCATTAATTAATTTCCTTTCTTAGAGATATATGTCCTTGAATTTTGGCTATAAAAGAAAATACAAGCAAGAATAAACACATTAATATACAATACAACTAACTACAAACCAAGAATGATGAAGCCCTTTATCATTGAGATGTTGTAAATGCATTCCAAGCTTCATGTTCATCAAGAGCAAGAGAGGAGCAGAAACCAATCTTTGTTACCTACGAGTTAATTGACTCAAATCCATATAACCATCGTGTTGACAAGATTAACACGAGAGCATTCGAGGTTTTCTCAGATTACGAGTTAGTAGATGAAAGTAAGACTCATTGTATTGATGGTTGCATCTTGCATCCATAACAATGAATAGAGGAGAGAAGGAGTATTGTTAACAAGAAGAATTGATGCTAATATTCTTCTACAACTAGAACATTCTGGATGACTCCAACTCTTTCTAACTATGGAAGGAAGAGGTGCGGATAAACCGTAGATAGGCATGAAAGATAGATAATAAACAGAAAAGAGAATACTTGTAGACATTAGAAGCAAAGCTTATGCAAACTACGTAAATTTATTTAAAGAAAAACATAATAAAAACAACACTTGTTTTTTTTTTTTTGTGTGTGTGTGTTTTTTATTATTATTATTTTTTTATTATTATTTTTTTTAAGCAAAGCAAGTAGAAGCAAAGTTATTTAAGTTATTTCAAATGAGTTAGAAAATGATTAAGTCATTGAAAGCATATGAAGATCTACGATCAATTTGTTTAGAGTCTTCTCATCTAATGCCTTAGTGAAAATATCAGCCAGTTGATTAGTGGATGAGATGTAGAACAACTCCACTTTTCCTTTTTGAACAATGTTTCTAATGAAGTGATGACAGATATCGATGTTCATGGTTTTGGAATGCTGCATTGGATTCTGTATCATCTGAATGGCGCAGATGTTGTCACAATAGTTAGGAGTCTTTGAGAAGTTTAGACCATAATTTAAGAGTTGATTATGAATCCATAGAATCTGAGCACATCTTCCAACGCTACATATCCAGCTTCAGCCGTAGAGCAAACCACTAATGTCTGCTTCTTGCTGGACTAGTTCACCAATCTATTTCCACACATTTGAGCCCCTCCCAATGTACTTTTATGATCAATGCCACATCCACCATGATCAGAGTCAGTGTATCCCACCAGCTTGAACTCATAATCACGAGGATACCATAAACCAAGATTGGGTGTATAAACTTCTTCAACATGTATAATGTATTTAGCTTGACAAAAAATTCCATTGGTTAGTTGTTTAACCTGCAAACCTAAAAAGAAAGTTAGTTCATTCATCATGCTTATCTCAAATTTCTTATCCATTATCTCATTGAATTTAGAACTTAGTTTCTCATTAGTGGATCCAAAAATGATATCATCGACATACACTTAAGCAAGAATGATGTAAGATCCTGAATGCTTGATGAAAAAACATTGTTAATTTTTCCTTGTCTGTATCCACTTTTAAGAGGATAACTCACCAATGTGTCATACCACGCTCTCGGTGCCTGCTTCAAACCATAGACAACTTTATCAAGACGATATACATGATTTGGAAATTCTTCCCTTTCAAATGGAGGTTGCTTTAGAAAGACTTATTCTTGAAGATCCCAATGTAAGAAGGCAGTCTTAACATCCATTTGATAGACTTTGAAGTTCTTGAATGAAGCAAAAGCAAGAAATAGACAAATTGCTTCAAGTCTAGCAACATAGGCAAACGTTTTGTCATAGTCTAACCCTTACAGTTGACAAAATCCTTAAGCCACAAGTCTTGCTTTGTTTCTAATGATGATCTCATCTTCATTCATCTTGTTTATGAACTCCCAACAAGTGCCAATGATAGTTTTTCGTTGAGTCTTAGGGACAAGAGTCCACACACGATGGAGTTCAAATTCATTCAACTCATCCTGCATAGTCTTGATCCATTCAACTTCTTTTAGGGCGTCAGTGACATTCTTTAGTTCAATCATTGAAAAAAAAATCCCAAGCATACAGAAGTTGATGTCGACTCTGCTACGAGTGAGAATCCCAAAATTTACATCTCCAATGATTTGAGATTCAGGATAATCTCGAATAATTCTAGGATTAGAACATTCATTCGTATTATTTAGAACATAGTCTTCCTGATTAGATGTCTTAGCATCTTTAGCGATGATAGGATGATCTTCATAGTTAGATTGAGAGCTGATAATTTGATCAATATTAGGAACAATAGGCTCAGTGACATTTGGTAAGAACTTGGAATAAGGGTCTGACAGACTAAAGGTAAGTTCATTCAGAATGGGTGAAGGATGCTCAATCCGATAAGGATGAAAATGTTTGATGATGGAGGATCAAGACTTTGGCTAGAAGGTAGACTTGGTTTTCTTTCCCTTCTCATATACTGAACATAATTTATCTTTGACAAACTGCATCTTGGAAATTCCTCTTATAAGTTGATTCCCATAGATATTTAATATATTCTTGATGTTCAATTGAGATAATCTCTTGTGCCATAGCCAATTAAGATGAGACTGAGCACTATAGAAGAAGAAACGATGAAGGGAATTGTCAGCAGAGAACATGTCTATAACATAAATGTCATTTTGTCAATTTGCAGTCAGAACAATGACATTATTTTGATCAACTACCTTTCCTTCTCTCTTGTTAAAGTGAACTTTATAGCCAACGTCACACAATTGACTGATTGAAATGAGAGTGTGCTGAAGACCTTTCATGAAAGAGACATTCTTGAATATAACAAAATTTCACTTGATGGTTCCAAATCCTTTTGTAGCTCCCTTACCATTATCTCCATATGTAACAGTAGGACCATCATTATTTATGAAATATTCTAGAAAGGGACTTGAGCTAGAACATCATAGAAACTTCGCTGACTTTCTCATAAACCTTGATTTCGATACGCTTAATAAGAAGTCAGAATTGCTTAAATTGGTTCGTGTTCCGTTTCCAAAGTAAGTCGTCTTTACCCAAGTGCCCGACATTTTCGCCCGCTGGGCCGAGTGTTCGCTTCGCGCCCCAACCCCCTTAACACCGATCATATGTCTTGAGTAACCACTATCTAAATACCGAATACATTCTTTACCCTAAAACTAAAATATACATTTAATATAAAAAGATCCATCCTGTAATGGGTCACTTATGAAAAAAAATATGATAACAAGCATCAGGGAGACAATTTAAAGAGTTTCCTTTTTTGATCTACTTATCATTTCGAGTCATGATTTTGTCATTGCGAACAGATCTCTTTTCAAAAATCAAAAGTACACTCGCTGACTTTGTGAGAAGCATCACCACATTGATAACAAACTCTAGTTCCAACATTCTTTCCATTAACATTAGATTTTGGTTTCTTTTTAACTACTAAATTTGAAGAACTTTGATCATTTGATTTAAAAATTCTTGCTTTAGTTCTGGACCAATGAATGTCATCGATGGTATGCTTAGATGACACTTTGTCACGAGGCTCAGGAGATATTCAAGAGTCATCTAGAATAGAAGACTTTGATTGATCTCCAGGTTCAGAGTTGCTAACAAAGGAATGAGGAAAATTGCTAAGAATTTTGTTTACCGAATGAATTTGACCATTAGATATAGGAAATATTAGCACAATTTTACTGGAGTGCAGAACATACTCACAATGAGGAGGTTGATGGGAAGGATCAAGAGCAGATAAATGAGACACACATTTGATGTTACCATTAGAGTCAGTAGTGTAATGAGTATTAATTAAAGTTTGATTTATAAAATAGGTACTTACAAATCTATTTTTAAAGTCTTTCTCTAGACAATAAATGTTATAAAAGGCTTGTTTAGTCTCAACCTTTTTGATTAAGGAGAAAACACCTTCTATATCACCTCCAAGAATTTTCTCACACTGGTATGGAATCTTATCTTTAATAATTCTCATGAAATTATAGTGAGAATAAATCCCGTTTTTTAAAATAAGTTGAATGAATCTAGCATGATCAACAACTTTTTCCTTTTTAGTGTGAAGAAAATTGTTGATCAGAGATATATAAGTGTTCTTTTAAAAGAGAAAGAGATGTTTCAAAAAAAGGAGAGTTTTTATTTTACATTTTTTAACTCAATTTTGAAAGAAGATCTTTCTATGTTTGAAACAGATAAATTGAAGCGAAAGTGATCAAACATGTCCGCTTTTTCGATGTTTTCGATGGAAGAATAATTCACAATATTTTTTACCTGATACACTAAGGTTGAGTCCCTGTCAGACTTAAGGTTTATAGAAGCTTTAGAAAGATCAACATCAAGAGTGCCAATGATGTTATTCGATACATCAGCGTGAGATTCAACGATCTGAGCCATGAGACACTTACCTTTTGAAAAATCATCATCCGAGAGATCTTCAAAATCAGATGATAATGTGATCATCGTCTCTTGTACATTTGATCAGCCTTGAACTAAACGATAGACAAGGTATGTGAGTGGGTTTCTAATAGAAACTCTACTTTACATCGAGATTTAGCACCTTTTTCTCTTCCTTGTTGTATCCTAGCACCGATTTATTCTTTAGCCTACTATTAGATGCACCCTCATTGGATGATTGATGCATAACAACGATAAGACCCTTGCTAATGATTTCGAGCATGTCATAGTCCATGATCTCGAGAGCGTCCATGGCCTTTGATTTCCAAGAAGTGAAGTTGAGTTCATAAAAAGGATGGATCTTTTTGCAAGAAGTTGATTTAGGATTGTAAGAGGTCGACATAATTACTTGAGTGTATCAAAAACCTACCGTAGTACCAATTATAGGTTTGTATCAATCAAATACGCTTCAAGTAGAATTAACAAAGAACAAACTAACTAAACAAATAGAGAATAGAAAATGTAAAGAACACGAGTTAATCATAAAGATGTCTCTCACCAAGAAGGCGTTTTTCTCATCAAGTGAACGAAGGTTATAAAGACATATATTAGGGTTTTACCCTAATGTTGAATATATACTAAACTATACTAGTATGTCCCTTAAATCAAGGGATTGTATCTAATCTTTAATAAGAATTGATCCTTATCACTAAGATATTAAATATACTATATATTTTATAGATGTATGTATAATGGCCTAATATAAAATGATTACATAAGATCATTATCTAGACGCTGATGCTGATAAGGTCTTGAGACGCTGGTGCTGATGCTGATGTTGGCACTGGCACTGGTGGTCAACGTATAAAGTGTTTGACTCATCAGTCCATAACGCATGACCGTACATTTGTCCACATGTTCTCTTGGTGAGAACATTTTTATTAGTAGAAAATCAGCTTTGTCATCATCTTTGTTCTTATGTTCTTTTATATCATCTTTTCTTTGTGTTTATACTTGTTTGTATCTGATCAAGTAAACCTTCAAATGGTATCGGAGTGGGTTTTCTAATACATTCAAGTTATAATTTCTTCTTCCTTATATGCAAGATCCTCAAGTGCAATCAATATATCTCTGTTTGACCAAGTAAGATCTACCATATGAAACATACTTCATCACAGTTTTCATTTGATTCAGAATGGAAAATCAACACAAAAATGATGAAAAAGCCAACTGTTGTATTAAACAAAGAACCGTCTAAAAGATCTTGTATGCTTAAGAGTCATATTAAAATGATATTGCTAATTAGATAGTTCTTAAAGGCATGGGGTATAAGTTCCTTTTAAGAGATGAGTGCTTAATTGGTTAAGGACTCATCTGTATTGTTTTAGCTTTAACAGAGTGCATGAAAGGCTTTAATTTTTGACCTTTTTACATGCTAAAACTGTGAGTAAGCCTAGCATACTTGTAACACCCGTGTTCTAAGTTGGTTAAGCTTTCTTGTATCAACTATCGAAGATGGATTTTTGGAGGAAACTTTGTGCCACGATGTAGCCAAGGAAGACCACGATGTGGCAATAAGTATTTTGATCGCATGATTTTTGGACCATCACGACGTGACCAAGGAAGGCCACGACGTAGCAGCTATTTAGGCCCAAGCCCATGACTCTTTTAGGGTTAACTTCGTATTTAAACCCCTCTAATCCATTTTCAGGGTTTCTTATGAGCATCCATCACCCTCAAGTTTCTAAAACCCTAACCCTAATTCCCCATTATGAGTTGTGAGTCCATTTTGGTGATTTTGGTTAATTGTGAAGAAAGAAGAGGCCTTGTAAAGGATTAAGAAGCTTCTTGGCTATAATGAAGATATCTTTTGGGCACCTCTAGACCTTTATAAGTGTCCAAGTTCCTTGATTTATGTCTTTTGGTGGCTAGGTCTTGAATATTATCCCATATTCCTCATGTTTGAGCAAGTTTTGAGAGAAAGAAGTCAAAAAATTGGCAACTTTATGATTCTTCTTAGCCCCAAGAGCATCATAGGTTATGGATCTAGTCTTTGGTAGAAGATCTTCTCATTTGTTTAAGTTTTGGTCTTTAGAGGTTAACTTTAACCTAAATAGGATCTCAGACATGTATCAAACATACATAACTTTAAAGCTCTCATCTTTATGATAGGTTTAGTATTATAAAACTTTTTGGAGTGGTTGGGTTAAGGAATTTTTTAGATTGAGGACTTAATGGTTACGATATTATGGATTTTGGCTTTATTTGTGACTTAAGGTTAGAGATCTTAATCTTTTAGGTGTCTTAATGGATAAAGTTGGAAACTTTATCCATTTAGACCATGGAATGGACCAGAGCTGAGCTTTAGAGCTCTTAGAATCGAAGAAAGTAGCTTAAAGGAAACCCAACGCCCACGACATGGTCATAGGTGCCATGGCATGGCGAATTAGTTTTTCCCATTGGGTTGTTTTATAAGGGCCACGACGTCGCCAAGGAAGACCACAGCGTGGCAATTGAGTAATGTCAACAATGGCCGTTAACTTTTAGTATGAATTGACTTTTGGTCAAATTTATATTTCTGGGAAGGTAGACTTAGGTACCTTGTGTGGATTTTTAGGAGGTGTTTAACACCCATCTTTGGCGGAAGGAGCTATTAGCTATGGTCGACACGACATTGAGCTGGGTTTTAGCCGGCTTTGTGATTTAAGTGAGTTTTCCTCACTGTACTTGTGGGTTGAAGGCACCAATTCCGCTCCAGTAGATTGTGTATTTTGGTTTGGATTATTGCAATGTTATGGTGATCTGTTAAGATCTACATTATTTGATGGTTGTTGTTATGTGATTTATTTGTTATTTATGTCGACATAGTGTGGTGGGGGTTAAGACTATACTGCTTTGTGCTACCAATCAACAAACCTGGACACAACATTGAGTTGGGTTTTAGCCAGCTTTGTGATTTAAATGAGTTTTCCTCACTGTACTTGTGGGTCAAAGGCACCAATGTCGCTCCAGTAGATTGTGTATTTTGGTTTGGATTATTGCTATGCTATGGTGATCTATTCAGATCTAAATTATTAGATGGTTGTTGGTATGTGATTTATTTGTTATTTATGTCGTCATAGTTTGGTGGGGGTTAAGACTATACTGCTTTGTGCTACCAATCAACAAACCTGGGAAATTCAATCGAGAGGTTGTGGGTCAGTGGTAATCCAAACAGGAAGTTATGGACCCTAATATGTATTAGGAAATCCAACCGAAAGGTTGTGGGCCAGGGAAATCCAATCGAAAGGTTGTGGGCCTAGTGTAATCCCACCAAGAGGTTGTGGACCCAGAATGTTTTTGGCAGTCCAACCGAAAGGTTGTGGGCCAGTGCAAACCAATCATAAGGTTGTGAGCCAGGGGTAATCCAACCGGGAGGTTGTGGACACAATATGTGTTTTGTTTATGTTCTGTTGAGTGGTATTTAGGGAACTCACTAAGCATTGACTTATGGTTTAAGTTTTATGTTTCAGATGATTGGGGGAAAGCAAAGGTGTGATTATGCATATCCTTATGATTTTATGACATTTGATTTTGGGACACTTTCATATGTGATTACTATCTTTGGAAACAACGTTTTTGTAAACAATTATGGTTTGTTATTGGATTTTAAAAATGAAATTTTTTTTCTGATTTTTGGGATGTTACAATATTCATTCTCTCTTGTTTTTGCTTTTACACTTGAAAGAACAATTTCATTTTTCTCTTTTTAAGTTCATACTTTGGTTATGAACTTAAAGCTTAAGAGTTTTAAGAATTTTACAAGACTAGCATCTTAAATCAAGTTGAGTTGTTGGTGTCTCAAAGTTTTCCACATTATCCATTAACTTCCAAGCCTCCCAAGAGTACCCAAAGAACTACAAATGTTGTTATTTCTTCATTTCCTTCTTTGGTTGTGATTTTATCTTTCCATTATTTGAAAGATGATCCACGGTGGGTATAATTTGTTATGTTACTTTCAAAAAAATACAAGTCTTTCGTTTGCCATTTTACTAGTTTATGAAACTAATTTTTTAAAAAAACCCAACAATTGGTATCAAGAGCCAGCTTGCAAGTTTGGTTAGATTTTATGGTTTTTGGAAATCATAGGTTTTAGAGAATATGGATAACTTGTTTTTGTATAATAATAAGTTCAAACATATTTTCTTTAACAACTTCTTAATTGTTATTTTATATGACAAAACATACATGCATTTTTGTCATGTAAAGTTGTCCTAGAAAAAAAGGTTGTTATGTTTATATGTATTTTAGAGTGCATAAACAAGCCTTGGACCATTTATGTTATTATTTGTGTAATTTGGTTAAAAATGGTTTGTAATATTCTTTATGTATATAAAGACAATATCTTGAAAGGGATCAAGACACAAAATTCCTTTAGAGGAATCTTGGCATTGTCACATGGCACTTAGTTTGAGCCAGACTCAAAAGGACCTAGCTCATAGTTTTGAACCAACTAAAATGATTTATATTCAGTTTTCTTGACAAATGAATCTATCTTTTAAGCCATATTTTTCATAAGATTTGGTGTATGATCATCCTATGAGCACATCATAATACACCAATTGAATGCATGGTTAAGCCACCAAATGAGTATGGGAACATTCTAAGAGTACTTTAGAAGAACTAAGAGAATGTATATGAGATAATTTGTAACAACCAGAAAATTTCCGTCAAACAATCCTCACTAGAGATTCGCATCAACAAACGGTAACAATAGAGTTTTTCATATTTCAGGAAAATATGATCAGATATGCTATGATTTTTAAGTAAGAAAAAGATTAATAGGGTAAAAAATGAGTAAATAAAAGGTTATAACATTATTAATGATGGTTGGTGTATCTGGAAAGTACACAGTAATGTGATCCCAAGGATATAAACTTTGTAAAAATATTTATCCGACTGGAGGAGTTATGATTTTGTAAAAAGTAAAATCAAATGTGTTACTACGTACTCAATGTCAAAATAGTATAAAGAAATCAGTCGAGTTTTGACTAAAGTCATTAAAAGGAAAATCATAGTACACCGAG